TTTTAACTTTATTTCTCTTTTCAAATATTTTGATATGTTTATGAATTTTGTGCTTAATATCACCATTGTTTGTGATTGCCATGGACAAATTAAATAAAACTAATTCACTTATTACATTTTATGCAGTGATTGTTTTGAGCTTTTGTGCTAAAGCACACTACAGCTCAATGCATCCTTTTTGGTAAGGAAAATGATGTGTGCACACCCGGATTCAACACCCGGGTGTGCACACTCCACATGAAAAAAAAAAAAAAAAAATTTCCCTTTTTTTTTTTTTTTAATGCGGAGTGTGCATACTCAAATGTTGAATCCGAGTATGCACACATCATTTTCCATTATTGCAAATATTCAAATTAAGTTAATAAGCATATCCAAAGTTAAATTTTATGTCCAACGATATGGTTTTAGGTTGGAATCCCCTTGTCTGAGAATGTTTGATACTTATAAATCGTTATTATATATTCCTCCCAAATCCTGTTTTGGTGCTCGATGCCAAACAGAGAGGCTGTACTGTAGAGGTCCAATAAATAAAGAAAAAAAAAAGTCAGCAGCAGCACCTTTACTACGATGCGTCATGGGTCATATATAGATGCCGCAGAGCAGTTTCTCTAAGGCAGAACTGACTCACCAACGAACCCTTCTCCATCCACCTGACTCTCACACTTTGTTGTCTTATTCTCTGCAATCTTTTTGAGTGTCTTTACTCTTTTTCTTTGTCATCTTTTAACTCTCAGCAGAAAAATATTACTGACTTTCCTGTTCAATTCGCCTCTCTCTCCCTGTTAATGTCATTCAAAAGTTGTTGTTATTGAAGACAGTTTTTATTTGGAATTTACCTTTGTTAAAGTTTATGGCAAGTTGTGTGAAAAACTGTTGTGCTCAGTCCGAATGGTGCAACAGTAACTATATATATCAGAAGCAGGCAAACCCTTTAAATGCAAGAGCTAGCCTTCCATTAAATGGTAACGGTTTTGTAATACAATGCAATTTAAATTGTAAAATCACAAATTGTTTAGGTAAATCAATTCTTAACATAGTAAATTAGTGAGTGATTTCCTATTCCAATCCAAATAGGGTCTTCATTCTGATATATATCAAAATTAATTTCCACATATGCAGACTTGTGGTAGGTGAACGTAAAACATGATGATGATGATGTAGAAGTTGAATATAAAAAATGTATGTATTCAGAACATTATTACT